GTGAGTCTTGATGTAGAACTCGACATTATTCACATACGATTGAACAGTCAAATGTATTTCATATCTCTTGGAAAAAGTTCAAAAATCATTTATAAATTATTCAAACAAGTATGTCCAAATATAAAAACCAATTGAAATGTACAGAGTTTAATGGAACGCAGATGTGTAAGACGGACATTGTATGTCGATTATGTACATTCGCTGATACGGATCAACGCGGACTCAATAATTAATTGTGTGACAATTTAAAATGTGTTTGACTCTTACCTTGCCTTTTATTTATTGTTATTTATTTTGTATATGAAGAGTCCTTCTATTTGTAAAATGTTAAAATTAAATGTAACTTAACTCATCTTTGAAGTTTAATTCGAAAAAATATTTTTCTTTTTTCACTTGTAATGAAAACTAATTATATAATATTAGACTAACTAATAGCGAATTTAGTCTTTATACTAGATTAATGCTATTATATAACATATGAAATCATCAAAGTTAAATGTAAAAGCATATACAGTGAGTGTAAAAAAGTATTCGTGTAAAAAAATATTTTTTAAAAAAATTAAAAAAAAATAAATATTATCCAGCGAGAAATGAGTAATCGATTTGACGTCGATTCGATGTTTAATTGACGATCATTTCTTGTTGGATAATTAACAATTTATTCATAAAGAATAAAGTAGATTGTATGTTTCTTAAAATTATATATATCAAAAAGATGTGTATTAATTATAAAAAATATATCATCTGAAAAATAAGCAAAAATAAAAAATTGTATTGTTTGAATGATCAAAAAGTATTCCTATAGACGAGAAAATATAGCTTTTAAAGTCTCAGGAATATATGCGAAGCTTGTTTATGTTAGAACAGAATGTATTATATATTCATTGTATAAAATTGCTAATTAATGTTTATTTTCTACAAATAAGACTTTTTTTTATAACTTCCTTATAAGAATTTTTGCTCTCACTGTAAATATTTTGAACGATTAAATAATGATAGTTATTTAATAAAATGTAGATATTATTTAATTTCCAAAGTTGAATATATTATACCACTACATCGATACTTTATATGTAGCAGTCTTTTTGATGTACGGTTGAATTCAATATACAACTAAATTTTTCGACGGTTTCTAAAGAAAAATTTACTGCAACATATATCTATCTTACTTTAAATTATAAAACGTACACACACACATACACACACTAGTTCAACACAGAAAACAGACCTATTATTGCTACGTATAAGTCGAGGAGGCGCATTTAAACGAAACGGGCTATCTGCAGGCCAACTCTGTGAAATAATTCCACAAGCGGGCCGGGTCCAAGGTCCCGTGGGACACGGCAAGAATGTTGGAAGGAGGAGGGAGGTGGGGGGGGGGAGGACCGAGTAAGAGAACTGTCGAGGGAAAGAAAAACGGGATCAGAAGGTCACACCGGTGAGTGAGCAAGCGCGCGCAGTTGCTCTCTCGGTGCTTGCCTCGTTAAGAATCGCCTGGGTGGGGCCCCTCGCACACCCGGCGCAGTCCCGGCGACTCGCCACTCGGTACTTGTTCGCTTGTCCCTCCATACGCGGCCCTTTTCTTGGTCCCCCTCCCCCTCCCCCTCTTCCCCCTCACTCGCCGGACCCCGCAGCCCGCAGGCTGCAGCACGCGGATCCCGCGGGCGCGAGCGGTGCGTTTCTCCTCGGTGCGGTAGGTGGGTGTGTAGGACATAGCGGACTCCCGCAGTCAAGGACACGTTCCGCTTGCCCACACAATCGCGTCTCGCATTCACCGTCGCGTTCCGTCCCGTCCCGTCCCGTCCCGTCCCGACCCGTCTATGTACGTCGCGTCGTATCGCTCTGCTGCACCGGCTGGATGTGCGTGCGTATATGCATGCGTGCGTACTTAGCGTCGATCTGCCCGCTTGTATTATTCTCGCGCGCGCGATCGCGCCGGGCAGGCCGGTGTCCGTTTTAATGTTTATTAAAACGGAAGGATTAAAAGACGTGCGTATGTCAATGTGCGACAGTTAACATTTAATTCGCTCTCCATTCTCGGGAATAATCCTCGGAATTATTTTTAATATGGTATATATATAAAACGTAGATATAATATTATGTTCATATATATATATATATATATATATATATGAACATAATATACTATCTACGTTTTATATATATACCATATTAAAAATAATTCCGAGGATTATTCCCGAGAATGGA